GTTTAGTGCTAGGTTAGTACTATGTTCGTGTTCTGTAGGAAAGGGTTATTCGGTCCACAATTTGATACAACTTGGACATATGGGCTGCGTTCGATACTTTCTGTCTGTGTGGTGTTGAATGTATATCCATTGACGTAAGCTAACCTGCAGGCTAATTTTTGGTGTTACTCAGTTGCGTGAAACCGCGTTGTCGTCTCCGCCTCTACTGCCATTACATCGTCTTGTCACTCGTCTATACGTTAAAATTGGGATCATCCGTTTAGGTTTTGATCCTCCTACAGCTTCTCGTTAAACATTTGCATATTCATCCCTCGAAGCTAGTGTGCTCGCAAAACTTGCTGACATTGCACGACTTCCTCTTACTTCATGTATGGCACTTCACTGTCCTCTTCATAGGGCAACTCGAGTGAGGCTTTTTGTCAGAATTACGTGTACACTGCGCTGTGTATTGCTATGGGTCTGCTGGCTGGTGAAGCTTTACTGAGATCCATCAATGTATCAGGTATGTCTGTCGCATTCTGTTTCCATGTATTACATTGTGTATACGAAAAGAATGCCTAAATAATTGGTTGCTAGCAATCAGAGTGATTTATTCTCTGTCCAAGACTTCTCCTTAATACGCAAGCAACGAGGTAACCATTCATCGATATAAACTAGACATGTCTGTAGAAGCAACCCCATTCTCGTTCATTTCGTACTATCATTCACGCGTTGTGAAGCTCTTACATACGTGCACGTACGTTTCGCTTATCACCACATGGGGCAACGGGCCTGCGGCACACATTGTGTTCTTTTTGACAATCACAGGTGTCATAAACTTTTGTCTCTGTAAGGCACAACCCATCATTGACACCACTCAAGATTCGTCTCGTGACCTTACAGGTGAATCGAGGTTTACCTCATTGACCATTTCTTGATTTCGCCTGCGCGCCTGTTTATTCACCATCGTTTCATTCTTGTTCTCAATATCGACCATAGTATTTGATGTTCCGGAGTTCCTGGGATCAATTACCAACGTCGAAAGGTCGAAACTGAATGATCCACGATATTTCAAGGTATGTCGTGCCAAATACATCGTGTGATTCGATTGCAACACGCAAACATTTACTACTGACCATCATGTTTCGATGCATACTATCCTGTTCGAAAATTCATTTCAATCACATCGGCATTAGGGTCTGATGCCTTCGACTCGAGGTCAGTCTGGAGTGTTGAAACACATTCATAGGGCGCTCAACCTGCCTGCTTTGGATATGAACGGTCTCAGTGATCCCTATGTAACAATATCTGATGCCACTACAGGTAGGGTGTTAATTAGTGAGCGCGGGTTGTAGGTAATATTTTATTTCGTTTGCGTGCGATGAAACGTGCTACCGCTATGCTCATCGAAGCCGATATGTCTTCTACTGCAACGCTCCTTATGGCAGGATCGTTTATGTAGAGCTTATTTCACTGACCCCGTTGTGACCTATTTAAAACAATTGTATTTTTGTTTTTTAAGTTCTCGATCTTGTTTGTACCCAAATTGAAGGTGTAAAGCTTGGCAAGTCACGTGTGATCTACCACACCCTGTCTCCGAAGTGGTCCGATGGATTTATGCTCAAAGTGCCATCAGCAGACACAATGGGCTACGATTTTAAGGTTGATACACGCCAGTCTGATCTTGCCATTTGCATAGAAGTTGTCATTCGGCAGTAGAAGGGAGTCTGTCGCAGTGCAATGCTGCCCTCTTTGGACTGCATTCGCAGATTTAAGCTTTGGTATTTAAAGTTGCCAAAGTACATATAGATACATATAGTACATATAGATACATATAGTACATATCGTACATATAGATACATATAGTGCATATAGTACATATAGTACATATAATACATATAGATTGATATGCTCAAGACATCATTGATTTCCTCGGCCTCCGGTTTTCCGAGATGTTCGCCAGTTGTCTCTTTTTGGAAGCATGACTGTGTGCATGCCCAAACGCCTGTGTTATTCACAGGAACTACTTGTATATTTCTTCCTCGTCGTACGAATCGGCGAATTGGCGTGATTCTGTGATGCAGCATTCTATTACTTAGCCTACCATACTGTATGCGCGCCTTGTGCGCATAAACTCCATATCTGCACCTTTATCAAATTTGTAATATTCAACACCACTATTTCTCGCAAATCCGTATTCTTGTTTATTTTAAGTCCTATGGGAACTGCTTCTTCTACGTTGACAGGTTAAAGACTACAGCTTTATGGCCAAGAGTGAGATTTTGGGCTCATTGACACTAGAATTCCGGTAGGTGTATGCATCTCATTAAATGCATGAGCACGTATACCTCAAAATGCCTAATTGCGCGAATCGATAACCGGCATGTGTTAGTAGTCAGGTCAATTTATGCGCGCCGGCACATCTGCGAAATTTGATTATCATGTTCACACACTAAAAATAGCCGAGTCGAATTTATTAATTGCCTTTTAGCGTACAAGGCATGTGCGGTAAATACCAATCTGTTTTATGGTACTACTTTCTAACAGACATGTATTAGAGCGGGAGAAGGAGGAGACCTTCAAAAAAAATCAAGGAGCACACTTTACCAGAGATCCAAATCTTTGTTCCCAGATAGCGGAGAAAGACAACGTCATACGGTATGTGAGTGCTTTCCAATCAATAGATACTTGCTATGACGTGTACACGATAAACACTGCTGATTGTATTTGTCACTGTTTTTTTAGATTGCGCAGACATACGATACATGCTTAGATGCGTTCTTAAATGCTGTCTCCTAATCACGTGCAAAATTCTTACTTCTGCCTCTGGGGTGCGTACCAGATTTTTAAAATTGGTGGTAGGCGTAAAAACATGCACTTGCGACGAATACAAAACAACAGATCTACATACACATACATGTTGATCATAATACGCTTAGCCTATCACTATCTCATAGCGTTTGTTGATTTTTCTTCACCTTCCCAGACGGACCAAAATGTCAAAAGAGCCGAGATAGTAAACGAGGCAGTGAAGGCATTAGCAGCACTAAGGAGAACGTGGCAAAGCCTGATAACTTGCCAAACTCTTCTTCCCAACTTGTGGACGAGGAGAAGGGTTATGGGAAGGGAGAGCAGGGCAATAAATATGAAGGAGGACGATAAATCCCCGGAGGAGACCTTGTACCCGCCCTCCCAGAGGGTAAGTGATCCATGTAATGATGTTCTAAGGGAATGTGTAGTGAGTATCGTTGAATTGCATTAGAATCTAAACTGAAACGCTGGGGTGCTAAGGAAATAATGTACGGAAAATCGTTTTTGCTCGCTGCATTGAAGGACAAACATTGAGCTCCGAGTGTTCTAGAATTATAGTTCTAGCGATGTAGGAGTTATGAGTATGGGCTAGTTTTGCCTTCTTTTTTTAGTTATACTGATACGACGACTTCCAACCCAGGCAGTATATTTTGAGCTGTGTATCCTATTCCGATTTTTAAGCCCAACGCAAGTGCTCCTGCAATGCTTTAGCATGGGAAATTAAAAAGTATGCTTGTAGTGGGTTAATATTTATGTGCACGCGACCGATCACATTAATTAACCGAGGAATATTTTGGACACCTACTTTGCTTACCTAGTACAATTGCTGTGCCCCTGCACATTTAATGTTCTGCATGCACCCCAGACTCTTCTGTGTATTGAAGTGGTGATCTAGTACAATTGCTGTGCCCCTGCACATTAAATATATTCTGCATGTACCCCAGATTCTTCTGTGTAATGGAGTGGTGA